CAACATATAAAATATCAGGAAAATCAGAAACGCCGAATCCTGTAAGACTGCCTGAAATATTAACTCGTAACCATACTAGATTTACCCATTGCTTCACCAAATTTACCCGTCATCTTATCGTATTTACCCACCGCCCCACAAACTGCCCGTCATATTTACCCATTCCCATAGAATCTTAAGAGTCTTCCCCCCCGTAAATCAACTACAACTACTAACTTGAACAAACAGTCGTGTCTCTCGATTCCTTCGCAGCTGTGACTCCGTGAAATTCACCCGAACACGACCATACATCTAAAATCATTGAGTAACTAAAAACAATTTCGGAGACAACTGAAAACATTTTGAATTTTTCCAAAATTCTATCGATTCACTTGAAAATTTACCTGGAAATCAACCTGAAATTGCACTAAAAAATTCAAGTTCCAATTCCAAACTGACCTGATGTATTCGGAAGATGGTGATCGCATCGAGTATCGCTACGAATAGGATCACGATCAAGTACTGTGCAAAATCGATCACTAGTTTGATGGCCATACCGCACGTCGTATCCGAATACATGAAGCCGTACTGATCCACCACGTAGGTGAACGCACAGCCCTCTCAAATAAAAATATCTCAAAATAAACGAATCTGCACAATTCATCAACCGAAATCAACACGAAAACCCACCAAAAAAATGAATCAAAGTCTGCAAAGCGGCGAACAGCCACACCAAGAACAGGGCAGCGATCGTATTCCTCTGGGTAAATATCCGGGAATGTCTGATGGGCAGGGAAATGGCCATGAATCGACACGTGCTACGCAGCAGATGCGTGTAGATACACGCCACATAGGCGGTGATATTCAACTGACCCATGAAGCGATTCAACGTCGTGTTCTTTAGCACTTCCATATCATTACTGCAAACACACAATAGACTGCCCGGGAAAGCTGATTGTTTCCCGGGAAAGCAGAATCTTTTCCGGAAGAGCTGACTGAGTCTTTCTGGGAAGAGCGAGCGAAATCTTTCCCGGGAAACAAAGCAAATTCCATTCATCCATATGGAACTTAAACCATATTCTCTCAGCTATCTAACAAGTAAGTTTACAATCTCACTTAAAAAACCTATCTATCTCAGTTTCATTTCATCTCGATTGATCCGCTCAAATCCGCGCAGATCCGTTCAGATCTACGCATTCCAATGGCTGTAAAAGCTTCAATCTCTCACATATCCAATGCCATATCCTTCAAATCCCTACAAATCCCATATGATATCCTTCAAAATCGTTGGATATCCTCCAAATCCCTACAAATCCCACATGATATCCCTTAAAATCGCCGGATATCCTCAATATCCCCTCAAAAACCCCAAAACAAATCTCACAAGAACGTCCTCGGTGCCGCATAAGCAGCGAATGTGAACAGCACCGTGAAATCAGCGATCATCTGCGATACACTCGTCTGTACGAACGGCTTT